CGGGCATGAGCGATGCTCTTGCGGACTTGGCTGCAGCGGCTGCATGATGCGCTGGCTAGGATGAAATGGTGCTGCCCAGGGTGGTTCTGTGCACCAGGTCTTGGAATATGGACAATGGCATTTCTATTAAGTGGGCGGACTATGGGTTTACCGGGCAGGAGCGATGCTCTGGCCTTCGGGTAGGAGATAAGATGGCGCTGCCTTTTTAAGTATGGAATTTTTATTAAGTGGGCGGACTATGGTTTTGCCTGGCATGAGCGATGCTCTGGCGGACTTGGCTGCAGCGGCTGCGCGATGCGCTGGCTAGGATGAAATGGCGCTGCCCAGGTTGATGCTGTGCATCGCATCAATGGAATGTCTATCAAGTGGGCGGAATATGGTTTTGCCGGGCATTGAGCGATGCTCTGGCCCTCGGGTCGGAGGTGTTTGACAATGGAAATTCTCGGGCAGGGGGTGAGATGGGGCTGCCCAGGGTGGTTCTGGGCACCAGGCTCTTGACCATGGAATTTCTATTTGATGTGGACTGCGCGTGATGCATGTCACAGCTTCCGCATGCTGCTTGCATGGTATAGGCTTCTACACTTTTCGACGCCTCTTCCTTGGCACGCCACGCTGGTGCTTGTCGCGGCACTCTGCGCAGATCCAATGAGCTAAAACGTCAACATGGTAACGACTTTCTTTTGGCCGTGGCCGACCGCACTGGTCGCACGGGGGATAGTTTCGCAGTGATTGGCACTCTGCGCAAGTCCACGCTGCCACAACTGTGACGTGGTAGCGACTTTCGCGTGGTCGTGGTCGACCACAAGTGTCACACGGCGGATAGCTGCATTGCACGCACAAGGTATCTGCTATGGCCTGGGACGCGAGCGACTTGCCACACTGGCTGCAAGGCTTCACTTTGCACTCTGCGCAAGTCCAAGTTGGTAAAACTTTGACGTGATAGCTTCTGTCATCTGGTTGTGCACTGGCTGTGCACCCGGGCGGTCAGCCCCCTTCTCGAGAAGGATGCTGCCGGGACACCCGAAGTCCCGGCCCCCGTCTTACACAGGGAGGGGTGGTTCGGTCCCCCACCGACGGACGATGTAGACGATGTGCACCTGGCGAAAACGAACTCTTAGACACTGCTGTCTGCGCACACTGCGCGTCCGCCGAGAACGAGCTCACAGACACACCGCACAACCCGCGCTCGTTGACCGATCCTTTTTTGGATGCTGCTGTCTGGTTGTTGTCGTAGAATTGACCGCGTGAGCTATGCTCTTGCCTCTGCTTGTGCTCTGTCTGACAACGCTTTTGTTTCTTTTTGTAAACCATTAACTCTTCTAGGGGGTGAAATAGAACTACCCAGAGTGGTTTTGTGCGCGTGAACCAAACGCTCTCGTAGGGGATGAAATATACCTACCAAGGGTGGCTTTGTACCTCAGCTTATCGTGCTTATGCTTCTGCGTGTATTCTGTGATCCAAAAGTTCTCGGTCATCCGCATATGTTTCCGCTTTGGTGCGACTCTGCGCTCGCTTTGCTCTGTCTCGCTGACTCTCTCGGTCCCCGCCTGCGCTCCACCGTGCTCGACGGCTCTCCCGACCTTCGGTGTGCGCAATGCACACCCGGGCGGTCAGCCCCCTTCTTGCGAAGGATGCTGCCGGGACGCCCGAAGTCCCGGCCCCCGTCGTACACGAGGGTGGGACAGCGATGCTCTCCCACAGCTTGCTAGCAAAGATAGAGAAAGAGCCAGGGACAGCTGCCGACGAATGCCGCGACGAAAACACAGACGCCCACAGACCTCAACAGGAGGGCAATCGGAGAGACAGCGAGAGACAGAAAGAAAGTGAAACACAGAGACAAAAAAAAGAGCCAGACACAGAGTGAGCTACCAAGACGAAGACACGGACAGATCCAGTCCGCAAAGGACACGGAGAGAGAAAATCAAGCACACAAAGCTACAGTCCACGACCCTCTCCCTGCTTGGCCGGCGCCCGGCTGTCAGGCGTAAGCCTCTTAAATATATATACTCTATAGATACTTAGAACCACAAGGTAGACACCCTCTCACTTAGGGCAATGATGCCGTGCAACCAAGCTACTACATGGGAGGTTGCACCTAGCTGACCAACGTCTCGTACAGCAACCACCGGCCTGCCACCGACAAGCGCAAATCACCGCAAATCCATTCATGTACCATGCATCACAAGTCACTCGCCTTGGGTCCGTCCCACCCTGGGGGGCAGGAGCTGGAGTGATGTTGCCCCTGATGTTTATCCTTGTGAAGTGTGTGATGAGCCTCATGATGATGCTGGTGCTCCGGATGCTTGTGATGCTCAGGACTGTGATGGTCATGATTTGGATGATTGTGGTGTTCGTTGCTATGGTGGTGATGGTCCAAATGCTTGTGATGATCAGAATGATGCTTCGCGTGGGTGTGTTTGTGTCTATTGTGCTCATCCTGCTTGTGGTGGTGCTCATGCTTGTGATTGTGGTGATGGTGCTCTTCTTCCGCCTCAGGGCAGTGGAGATCAACTACATAAAGCCCCAAAGTTGGCCGTCCGGAAATGAAAGCACTTGCTCGTCCAACCAACCGCTTGCTCTTTCATTCACTCCTGCCGCGGTTCGTAAAGTATCTGCAGAGGTTCGAAAATCCAGCATCAAGGGCTGAAGAGGGAACCGTTTGCGTCAACTGCTTGCATAGGCAAGAGGACGATAGCCATAAATTACAGCCGCTCCCCGAGAAGACGGCACAACCGCAAGCCGGTTGCTCGCAAAGCTTGGGGGCAGCCAACCTGTCCAATTAACAGACCTCCTTGGGACTGCAATCTCTTCCTCTGCCATGGGAAGGTCCAAAGTCCAAAAGCGAGTCCACTGGGCATTCCAAGTCATGGTCCATGAATGTAGCAGCCTGTGGGTGTGTCACAGTGTGTGTGTGTGTGGTCGTCATGAATTCATATCAGCATTGGCAGGTCCTCGACTGTCGGAATGCCCAAGTGAACACCTTCCTCCATTGGTGCAAGAGTAAAAAATTGACTGGTCGCCCGGGGCTTAGAAACGTGCAACATCGTGCAACTAAAGCCTGCGCAAGGAGATTGTTCACTAATGCAAGCGCCTGGGCTATCCCCAGCTTCACCAAACGGATTCGTGAACAGGCTGAATGATGTGCTCAAAGCGATCTAGCACACCCAGCATGAAGAATTCCCTCGCATCTTCATATTGGAGCCTGCAAAAGCTTTGTTGGAACCATACAAGTAAAATCCATTGCCTGCTGACGCAAGTTGGGATTGTTATAGAGGTGATTGTGACTCTAACACAATGTGTTGAGCAATGTCTCTAATCCCGAGTGTTCCAGAGTCAGAGTTTGGGAGCAGCTTTGCAGAAGGCGAGATGCCGCTGTGATCATATTGTCAGGGCCTCGCGCAGACACGTCATGATGCTGGTTTGCTGTCTAGCTGACATGTTGACATGCCGTCAGACCATCTTGCGGTTGTTGCTAACTTAACATGTCAGGTGTGTTGTGTTTCTAGAATGTTTGTCACGCAGACGTGTAGACACGCTGAAGTGATTCATTGTTGCGCTGATATGCTGGCGTGGTGTCACCCCGACAAGTTGTCTGGCTGTCATGCTGTCATATTGTCATGTTGGCTTCGGGCACACTAAGACGCTAGCACTCACGCTGAGATGCAGAAATGGGGTCATGCTGTCGCGCTAACTTGCTCGAAAGAGGTTTGCTGGTTTTTGCTTGCTGTGCCGGCTAACATGCTTGCATGGCACAGTGAAAAAGCTCACACTTGTGAAAATAACAGTGTCTAACAAACACAAACCCACACACCAGTTGTTAATAAGTTGAACATGTCGCAAGTTTATTGACAAATGCCATATGTTGCCATTGCTTAATCAGCAAATTCATGCCCGGCGGTTGGCTTTTTCCTTGGGCTTATTCCTTCCAGACTAGCAGAAGCCTGCATCAAAGATTAAAGCTTTGAGAGTTTCTAAGTTTCCCTAACAATCAAGGAACTAAATGAATAGTGCGAGCGCTTCTTCAAGGAACCTCGCGTGAGCTATCCTGCGTGCGTCCATACTAGTAGCTACTTGAGCTTTAAGCTACCGTTTGCTTCTACTAGCTACCTCTAGCTAACCTACCTCCCTCTACGGCCTACCCCCCCAAAAAAAGAAAAAGAAAAGAAACTTGCCTGCACAATCCAAGGATTGATCCAACAATCAAACCATTCCAAAGAAGACGTGGCAGCCAACCGGCCATGAGCCCAGCAATGCCATCCTGGTCTTTGATCTTCTGCAAGGTACTTGCGAAGTGCTGAACACCTGATAAGTACAATCGAGAACACCCGCTGTTGTGCAAAGGGCTAACATTATCTTAGCAAATGTCTACACTACGAAGTTGATCTACAGTTTCCAACCTGCAGACGTCCTTGGATACCAAAAGACAAGTGAACTTCTTTGCCTTCGCGACGAAGAATAAGCTGAGTTCGAGCCACGTCCAAAGGAGTGCACCTGACTCACGTGGCGACAAACCGGCATTGTTGAGCGAGAGAGAGAGAGAGCGCTGGCAGTCCAAGCAAAAATCCATCAAAAACCAGAAACTGCTCTGCCGAGGCACAGAATTGAAGCCACAGCTGATGCTATAGTGAAGACCAGGATATCCTCAAGCAGCTGGCGCGATTTAGAACATGGAAGCGGCTTTCCAAATCCAGCCAACACAAAAAGTAAAAAAGCACATGGCCCTTCCATGGTGGAAAGAAACCTTATATATATATATATATGTCTATTTGGGGAACAAGCCTCTTCCTATGGACGGAAAACCGCAGCATGTAAGGCTGTAACAGTAGCGATGGCCTCCAATCTATTAGCAATGGCCTCCAACCTAATAGCGATGGCCTCCAACCTAATAGCGATGGTCTCCACTTTTCCGCTTTTCCGCAAGATCCTGGCACCGCAGCTTGTGGCGGGGGTGACCAGAACGAGAGAAAGATCGATCACAGTTGGATCGATTCGATATCCTGTCCACAACGATAGGCCGGCTTGAACTGGAGTAGGAACTTCTCCACTGCGACAAAGCGAGAAGGTGCGATTCTGCAGCAGGCGCAGTGAGCCCAAAAAGTGGTCACTTTCGAGGATGGACGTGCGTAGCGCGTGGACAACTGAACGTCTTCCAACTTATGGACCCGCAACAGGAGAAGGCGGAACCATTTGACACGGTGCACCATTTCTTATGCATTTGCTTCGGTCCTGTCGAGCCATCGCCAGTGCTTGTATTTATTTGAAGGCTTAACACCACCTATGCTGGTGTGCAGGACAAAGTCAACATACAGGTACAGCCAAGGCAGGAAACGAACATCGGCATCTGGGTCGATGAGAGTGCGGGACCACTCTGCTAGTTTAGGCCAAGGTGACCCCACCAGCTTGGATGTCGCCAGTTGAGGGAACTGGGGAAGCGATGCGATCGTTGCCTCCGTCAGGGGCAAAGGGTATGGAAGTTACTGTGGCAATCGAGTGGGCTAAAAGGATCTGAACCGGTTCTGGCCGTGGGGCTGCCAAGTCACGAAAGATTCGAGTAGGGTTATCGAGCCTATCTTGCTTGGCTTTTTTGATGCGGGCGGACCAAAGGAGCTTTTCAAGGCTTGCAAGTTCTGCTTGGAAGTCAAGAGCAAGCTTGCCTGCAAGGGCACCATCCGGTGGTGCACAGGGCAAGCAATCAGGCAGGCCGGCGACGTGCTTTGCTTTCTGGTTCCACCATTGCTCAAACGAAGGCCGGAAGCCAGCGGCTCTACGAATTGCTCTCCACTGGTCTAGCTTACGTTCAATCCAGTGACTATTGTGCTGATGTCCTGAATGATGCATCTGTGCCACCGATTGGAGTCTTCTGAGCTGTTTGACCCAATGTGTGTGAAGTTGATTCTGACCATGGTATGATGGGGTGAAACTGCCTGGTCGGGATGGCCGCAGCGGTACGAAATGTTCGGTGATCCACGACCTTTCCAGGGTGGCTCCCCGGCCTGTTTGAGACCCATGTATGTTATGGCCTTGTGTTCGGGCATGCTGAACCATCTGTGTTTCAAAGGATTGCCAAACAGCCCGATACCTAGCATCCGCATCAGCCCGGGTGGGTGGCCCATTTTTATCTTCCACAAAATCCCACTGAACAGGGTGAAGACAGTGGTCATCAAGTGTCGTTTGATCTGGCCATTCCACTTGGCGTGGTTGTTTCCAAATAGGGACACGAAGTTTGGGTGCATGGTCACGCAAAACTGCATACACAATTGAGTGACTTGCGACCCAGTCTGGTTCTACATGCACCTCAGCCACTAAATGACAAAGTTCTGGACTGAGAAAGAGCAAATCCTTCGTGCGTTTATTTTGGATGGTCGGCTCAATCGGTTGACCAAATTTGCGGAGGGCTAAGTGCTGGGCCTCCTCCCACCCATGATGAAGCAGAGTCTGAGTTTGAGGGAGTTCATCAAAGAAATGGTTGAAGTCTCCTCCTACAAAACGAGGGCCCTTTGCACACGAGTGAATACGATCAACAACATGCGAAAGGAGAGCATTGTTTTGTTCTCGGGTTTGAAGGCCTCCACTCTGAAAGGCATTACCGTAGAAGGCACCTCCCTGGAGCCACTGGTTCCCAAACTGGAACCCGGCAACATGACACCGCTGCTGGTTGACTACTTCATTTGGCCACGAATGCATGAGGTGGCGCCCTGGTGTGCTTGTCAAAAACCCGACTCCCCTCTCCTTCCCCCGAACAGAAAGGTGCGATTGGGAGACTGATTTAGGGGGAACATAACTTCCATGAAGTAGCTTGTACGGACTTCGCGTGCAGTGAAGCTCTCGTCGAAACTGGGCACCCCCATCAGGGGTGAGGTGGGTTTCGGAAACAATCCAAACAGTTCCTTGCGTCCCTTTGGGAAGCGAATTAACAATTGCAGCTTTATGGAGCAAACCTGTGGGATTGAGCAGACCAATCACAAAGCCCGGAATGGAGGGACTGGAAACAGAAGTTGAGGGGCCTGGATGTTTGGCTTCCCCGTATCTAAAGACAAGATGAAGAAAAACCACGAATCTTCGCAACGAATTTTTTCCGCGACTCTGGATGGATCTGTGGCGAGTGCTCCGGCAAAGGTGAGCTTTCGTGCAGTCACGATCTCTAGGTCGGATCGATGCGCGGATCTGGCCACCGCGAACAGACTGCTCCCCCGAATTTGTCAGTAGCATTAGAGGATGGCCTTGCTTCAAAGAACATCGATGCACTGACGGCATGCAAACCCGGTTCTGGTGAGCGATCGATAGTCACTCGTGGCGCATCTTTTTCGACAAAAGCGCCTCAATTCTCTGCATTTGATCTTCCAGCTTGGAGTCGATGCGGCCTTCAAAGCCTTGGAGCTGACAGGAGATCTGGTTGTTGATCTTCGACTGCTGCTGCTGGAAATGGGAAAAATTCTGAGTCAGTGAACTCACCTGTCGCTCGAGTGCGTCAATGCGATCTGACTGATCGAC